TTCCCACTAATTTATATGGCCTAACCATGACCCTTGCCCTAACCCTAACCATTACCGACACATACCTAGCCCTAAACCTGACCTAAACTCAATTCACACCTTAGTCCTAAACCTAACCCCCACCCCATGAAGAGAAACTTTCCTTATGGGGACCAGTTGTTGGTCCCCACAAGTACCTATGAGTCTCCAAAATGTAGCATATTCCTGGGAAATTGTCCCCACAAGGTATTAAAGACATGGCCACACACACACACACAAAAACAACCCACTGATATTTGATTCCAAGTTTGAAGACGTTTTGCTCCAGAAACATCTTCAAACTTGGAAACAAAGTCCAGTGGATATATATATATACCGTATTTATTTATTTTTTTCACTTTTTTGGAATTAATGGCTAAACCATTTCTTTAACCCAGGTTATTACACATAAACAGTCGGTTGCATACACTTCTTGTAAGGCCTTACACAATGTCTGTGTCATATTTTGAAGTGAATCATTCGGGGGTTTTTGATAAATGGAGTCAGTGGCTGTCATAAATCAGCTGATCTTATTTGAATTTATTGCAGATCCTAAAGAGCTTGAAAGAAAGGATTAAATATTGCTTTTGCTTGCAAGTGCATATGAAAAAATGACATTTATTATTTATATATATATATTTTATGATTTTAATATGAAGAATGAATCCAGCTAAGGTTCTTTTTTTATTGTTAAGGGTTACAGTGTTGTTGGATGCAGAAGTTAATCTTGTGTTGTCTTGGTTTCGGTCTAAATTTTACTTATAAACCTATCATTTATTTTTTCCCTTCACTAATTTTTACCCCTATTGTATACCCTCCCGATTTATAAATTTGCAACAATTTCTAACTGTATAGATTAATTATTTTATAGTTTTTATGCATCATATTGTATGTTTTTAATTTCACACAGTAGGCCAAATGTGGGGATATAAGTATATTCACATCTAACTCAAAGAATCAGATATGAAACAAATACATCTGCAAGGTACGAAATGACCAGAGTATTTATCGTCATATTGATATTCAAGGGGGGGTTATTTAGGTATTGCAAAAACAAAAGGAAAAAAAATTTCCCGGTTAAGTGTGTTCTATTTTAAAGAGAACCTGCAACAAGCTGACAAGTTGAGAATTTGGAAGGACGGCTAGGGAGCTGGAGGAGTATTGCTTGGTAATGAAAAGAGAGCGCTGATAGCCTCCCCCAGGCTACCACAGACAAGTCATTAGACAATAAGGCAGGATATTTTTGAAACCTAAAGGTGATTCAATTGTTCCTTTGCAATGTGGTTTCATCATAAGTTTCAAAGCTGTCAAGTCAGTAAGGAAAAGATTTAAAAAATTAAAGGTGGAAAAAATGGCTAAAATAGTCCAACTGGCAGAAGCAGAGTTGCATTATTTACAGCAAGATAAACAAAACAAAGGTTTTAATCCACCAGGATGTGTTTTCCTTCACAAATATGATCAACAGACGTTACGTGTTTGTTAAAAGTTTTGAACAAACATCCAAAAGCAAGGCACTACTGAATGTAACAGAAACAGAGACATGGTGACTTTATGCATGTCTGTCAGATGTACACAGGAATTCAAACTCTTTGAATAAACTCTGTAGAAATGAGCAGCTATTAATATTATTATCAATTTTCATAAAATTCTAAATTTGTTGTTTTTTCATGCTGCATGCAAATTCGGTCACCCTGAATGAAATCCCAAACTTCATTTTATTTAGATTTGTTTCTGAACACAGACCTATCTCTTTAGTTCAACTGTAAACTATCAATGTTATCTCACTGAAAGAGAACAGTAAGAATAGTGAAAGGTTTTATTGTCAAACACTTTGGGTAAATTATTAACAAAGTGTTCATGCAAAGCTTCTGCAGGGTTTTGTACTTGCCAAACAATATTATTTTACAATGGATGCAACATGAAAGCATTTATAGCACATTTTAATTGGAGCTTGCATACTGCATTTTATAGCCGCACTTCAGCTGAAAGATAAAATGAATACAATAAATAGCTGTTGGGTGTTTGGGATTATATCTGAACGATTTGAAGTCTCCATCATACTTTTGTTGGGTACCAATAAACCAAAGGCTGTCTGTTTCCTCAAAATCTGAATTGACAGGATCAGTGTTTGTTTTCGATATGATGGAAGCTGGGCTGAGTTGTAACGTGACGTTGCTGGAAAGCACGGGGGAGTTAGGAGCGTGACTCACTGCTGAAAAAAGCAGACCAGGCCTTAACAATGTAACTGGGAGTAGAAACGATTTGTTTACAAATGGAGATATGTTTGTAATTTCTCAGGTTTAGGCTCTTATCTTATGACCTACCACTGAGGTGACACAATTATTACAAGCCCTGTGCCAGAGGTTAAGTTGGACCTGTAAATTTATGTTTTAAATGTTAGTCTGACATCTGATGTATTGTTATTGAGACATATGCATGCAGTGTATTATATTTACATCATGCTTTACCTTGGAAAACATTTTTAACAAGTGTGTACATTATGCAGGTTTAAAAGGAGCTCTGCATCAACATTAGGATCATTTCTGTCGCAGCTTCTGACTTCTGGGAAGTCCATCTATGCCACCCCTCTAAATCTACCCCTGTCTCAAAGTTTCCTGTAAACTCAGAGAGAAATGTTACCAAATGGTCTATTTTATAAGAATCATACTAGAAGTCCACTTAACATTTGATCGCTCTGCAGATTCTGGTCCTTCCATTCATGATGTCTTTGCAAAGTCAACCTCTCGTGAGAAAGAAATTCACAGCAAAGACGAGCACAACATGCAGTTTTGTTGCAGCACAACAAAACTGCATCTTCTTCCACAAATGTTCAAAGGTAATGTTAGCATGGTCATTGGTCCTCAACCCAGCAGCTGTTAGAAAGCTTAAGCTGGATAATACTAATGAACGGAAAGTATTATTATGAAGAAGAAGGAGTGAAGAACCACACCTACTGGAACTGACAGACTGAACACAAAGTCAGAAAAGTAGCCAGCATGCCCATGGTGACTATGGAGGAGCTGGAGCCATCCATAGCTCAGGTAGGGGAATCTGTTTGCAGTACAGCCATTAGGCTTACACTTCTAAAATCTGGGGTTGGAGAAAAAACACAGCCTTTCATTGACAGAAACCCATAAGAATATCTGATTGCTTTTTGATGCAAGCAGGGGAAAAAAGAAGGTGGTGTGGTTTAGATTTAGCATTTTGGTTTGCAAACAATGTCCCTGAAAACCACCGTTAATCCTCCTAAATACGTGAACCTCGCTGTGACTCGCAATGGTGGCAGAATCAAGGCACCAGTGCAGCTGGATGCAAACCACAACTAAGCTAAATACAGTGGCTGCATCAGGGTGTGTAAAAAACAAAAAAAATTGATAAATAATTTTTCATTGAATTTAATATTCTTGAACATCTGGCTGTTGTGATGTTTTTCTCACAAAACACAACCAATGTCTACATAATTCAACTGTATTTAAAAAAAAATTGTATGCATAAAATATATCAATAGGACATCTTCAGTCGATGCACTCATTATGAAACGTTAAGAAAATAATTACTTGATAAAAAAATATCATGTGGTGACACTAACCAGCCCCATGTATTGTTTTCTAAAGGTCATTAAAATTATATGAGATGTTTTAGTATGTATTTTCTGGCATTTTCATTTGCTCTTCTATAATTTCAAAGTATTTCTGTTTCCATCATAATATTCAATATTTCTCAACTTCAGTTTAGCTTGAAAATATCATGTGAGCCCGCAGTCATCTGGTACAACCATGGAAAAAAGCTTTAATGATGGATATATACAGTATGTCCTAAGTTGGACATATTTGTGCTTTTATATTCAGATGATGATAAGATACTTTAATTTAGCCCTGGTTGAATTTCTTTTTTTTATTCTTTTTTATATTTTATTATTTTATTTTTACTTTCCACACACTGCAAGAAAAAAATCATTTGGGATATGTAATTCAACCAATTAATTATAGGTCATTCTAAATGTATTATTAATTCACTTATTATAACCTTACTTCACCAGATGTTGCTGGTGAATTCATACTGAATTCCCTGTATTTTGTTTTCTTAGACCTTTGGAAAGAAATAATAGTGACTTAATTGTAGAAGTTTATATATTACTATATACTTTATACACATTTTTTCCCATGTTTTCACACCATCAGTGTGTGAGTTTGTGCATAAATGGATGAAGGACTGAATGCTATGTCAAGTCTCCTGACTTAAAAAAGGCCTATATAAGTACCTGCCATTTATTATTATTTATTGATTTGATTTAATAGCCACAATACATATTCACTGGTTCAATGCTTAGCCCTCCTTTAGCAACTGCAATAAAAAATCTCTGGATCCATCACCTTCTAAATATGTGGCCATACCTATGATATATAGTGTCAATGGAAACATGCAAATGTCTGAAGTTTTAGGATCACAAAAAACTGGGACTCTATTTTTATGGTTATTTATATATATATATATATATATATATATATATATATATATATATATATATATATATATATATATATATATATATATATATATATATATATATATATATATATATATACATATGTTTTAATCCTCTATTTAACAAATAAAATTAAAGCACAACCTTAAAACAAAAAAAAGTTTTCTATTAAAAACTTAAAGAGTTTTGAGCACTTTCCATCTGCTTTTGTTTAGTTAATAAATACCTATGAGGAAACAAAAAAAAAGAAATAACACTGAAGGGTCCTGTGTGTGTGTGTATGTGGTGTGTGTGTCTCCAGGTTACTGAATGCTCAATCACAGACAGGGTGGAGGAGGCAGTGCTGCACACAGACGTCCTGAGCTGGAATTTCCTCCCACTACAGAAGCCAAACCTTCACGTGTAACTCGTGTTTTTACGCTATGGAGTCCACGTGTGTAGACACAGCTGATCCCCTCCCCTTCTGTGGGATGGACAGGGGAGGGCCTCCACTCCACGGCAGTTCATAAAAGTTTAGTGTGTGAAGGCTGGTGGGAGACAGAAGAGAAGCTCAGAAAAGACTGTACTCTATAACTGTAGTGTCTGGTTTTTGTAGGGTGTGGATTGGATAACAAGAGCCGGAGGCTTCATTTGACATCATCACTGTTGTGAAACTGAAGATTGCAAGGAGGTGACACACAGACAAACTGCTGTGAGACTCTATACCAGTAAGGAAGGGCTGGACTGGACTTCATTTAGCTCAACATGTAAGTAAAAAAAATTTTATATCAGACTGGAGCGAACAAAAATCAGAAGGTTTCTACCAATAGAGAATATAAATATTTATACATATCTATTCTGCTTTTTACCTTATGAAGTTTGAATGACCTATACCTCAATGGATTTCCTTTTTCTCTAATGTGAGATGGTGATATGAACCCAGTTTTCTAAGTTTGATCTCTTTCTATAAGTCCTAAAGGTCACCTGGACCTGTTGTTGGGTTATTTTTAGACTCATGTGTCAGTGTTGTGTGGGTCCTCCTGCACACAAAAAGTGACAGCCCAGAAGTGACTACTGGGCATGAGCGCTAGCCTCACGTGGAGCAGAGCTGGAGTGAGAAAAAGGGCAGGATGATTCCTCTCCTGCTTCCCGCCACAGCTTGAATCACTCCACCCTGAGGTTTAACGCCACCTCCCAGTCTGACGTTGTGTGCTGGGATAGGGTGGGGACTGGGTCAAAGCTGGAACACACTGATGTTCATTCATTCATTCTCCTCCAAAGTCCTATTTTACTTCAATAAATATAGAAGTGGAACCCCTTCCCCAAAAACAGAGGAACTTCTGTTGAAATGTTAGTTATAATTTTTGCCTCTATGTTTTTTTTTGTTATTATTTCTAATTATTGGCTCTTGACCTTCACATTGATGCCCCTTGTTACATAATAGTGGGTGGTGAAAGAAGAGAGTCAGTCTTACAGTTACAACAATTAGTCATTGGTACCCACCTTGCATAAACTTGGTTGGTGAAATCCTCCGATGTTCTGGAAGCAGACACATCTGAAAGGTTTTTGAATCCCATTCAGTAACCTCAAGGTAAACTATACTGGGATAGTTTAGGATTCCTAGACTCTCTTAAATAGCTATTATTGAGTTATATCTACCCTCCAGAAGGAAAAAAAAAGAGTCCAAACCCTAACTTAGACTATAATAATGCTTGTCTCAAAAACATAGCATTTTGTGTGTAAAACTTGAGAACAGAGCATGTTAAGCGTTTTCAGAGAGAGTTATCACCTGTTGGATTAGTACCGCAGTAAGAAACATCTGGAACCATTTTATAGGCTCCTGTGTCATAATGTGTTTCACACAGGAAGGTTTTTGGTGATGCATTGCCTCCTGCCTCTGTCTCCCATCTAAATAAACATAATTTTCTGGATAAAATATGCCTAAAAAGAATATGACGACATCTTAAAGGCTTAATGTTTGCATGTGTTTGGAGTTGCTTTAAGACATTAAAAGTCTGCTTTAGTCTTGGCCTCCTCTCTGAGCAGGTCGTATTTTCAGCCTCCAGGTTTTTTTGGATTTTATGCAGGAATGATCTACCTTTATAACCTTTAACACTTGAACATCCTTATTCTCTCTTCAGGGACTCTTTAACTGTCCAAGACTATTTGTGTTGAGAGTTTCTATTGTAAAACATTCATCAGAGTTTGGACATAGTGTCATTCTATTATGGTGCATAATATAGACCTAAACGGAAAACATATGAGTGATCAAAAATCTACAGATATTACTTTCTCTTTATTTGTTAAAAAACTAAATGATAGGTGGTAGAACTGATGGAAATGGGTGAAGATCTGGATAAAAGTCTCTGATGTGATGTCCACTTTGTCAGATTTAATCATTTGAAGAAAGTTTTTATTTTACATCCAAATCAGGCTTAAGCTGTGTTTTTAAATCTTATTGATTCTTTATGGTTAAAGCGAAAAAAAATTAGGAAGCCAAATCATTATAGGTAGTTGCCTTTTTAAATAAAGAGGTTGCAGCTCTCAGGATAGGTTACACTGCCACCTAGTGGTTGGTTCCACATATCAGAGGTAGAGGATTTGTTATTACATGTCCACCAGATTATGTCCAGGCATGTACCAGTGATACAGGGAGGAGGGCTCAGTGACTCACTGGCTGCTTCCTGCCTTATAAAAAGCAGCTCTGCAGACAGACTGTTTCTTCACTCAGGAGGTGTGAAACAAGGCAGGAGGATGGTGAGTCTGGGCTCTAATTTTACATTGATTAGTATTGATGAGTTATTTTTCTCCTCCTTCTGATCTAAGACTAGTTTGGAGATTGAACTTGACTTTGAATTGTTCAAAAGGTTTGCATCATTAAAGGACAAAGTGATGCAGGAGGAGCTCATTTTTAAAGAGGTTTTTTAAAGAAATTATCCAAGTAGCTGAAACAGTGTATTAAAGAGGCCCTTAAAACTGACCTCTCTTGTGTTTTTTCTGTTATCAGTGCAGAACCATGGCCACTCACATGTCAATGCTGAGCCCTCTGAGGGGGAATAGACGCACCCGCCGGAACCTGTTTGGCCCTGTGGACCGAGACCAGCTGCAGATGGAGTACAAGGCGGCACTGGGTAAAGACCTGGACGAGGTATCAAGACGATGGGGCTTTGACTTCAGGTCTGACAAGCCTCTAGAGAGCAGCGACTTTGAGTGGGAGGGCATCCCAGAAGCCAGGGTCCCACTGCTCTACAGGTCCTGTGTTCTGGCTGGTGGACAGGCAGAGGGCCTGAGGATGGGAGGGGCTCCTTTGGTCAGAGGGACCAAAGAAGCGAGGATGCAGAAGGAGAACATCCCTCAGACGCCAGAGAAATGTGCAACAGAGCTGGAGGGCCTGGAAAGAACCCCGGAAAAGACAGACAAAGCTGGGCTGAAGAGGAAACAGACAAATATCACAGGTTTGTCTTTATCTGACTGAGCACAGAATTGGAAGACTTGGTTAGTGTGAGATAAATATCATCTTCTTTATCCCAACAGACTTCTATCAAGCCAAGAGAAGAGTTGTGTGGATGCCGAGGAAATCTGGGCAGTGATACTCTCTAAGAAGCAATATGGACAGCACCCGACTCAGGAATCATATGTTCCACAAAGACTCAAACAATCAATCATCTAAGCTGACTTTAACCATGAATCATCTGACGAAAAACCCAGGGTGGAGCTCAGCCGCTTGTCATTGCTACCGGTTAATTTGGGTACTGTAAAGGAGGGGATTGGTTTGTTTTTCCCCCAGTGGTAAGATGGGGACATTTGAGCAGAAAAAGATTAACAATAATCCCTGGAATCAGTGGATTTAAACTCATTTGGATCAAGGGCTCGCCAAAGTGCTGACTGACATTTGCTGCAGTCATCCATCCCACAGCTCTTACAAAACTCTCAGCTGCTCTGTAACGCTCTACCTCTCCCAGGAAAGAGGGACGGCTGGATGAAACCATTTCAGATGTCATTGAGGTTATTAGTCTCACAGGAGGAAGCTGTAGACCGGCTGGAATCTGCAGGAAAACTTGGGAGTTCTTTGTTCAAATGCACCATCTTATTTTACAGTGTTTGTTATATTTTAATAACTGTCTTTTACTTTGTATGAAAATACTTGAGCTCTGATATATTGAACATGCTGATGTTTTGCTTAGATTTTAATTGACAGCAGTGCCAACCTTTTCTTTATTAACTTTTTTTTGTTTTTCACCCAATGGGTTTAAAATGTATAATTTTTTTAAATCAGCCCAGACTTAAAGAAGGACGAAATCACTGGCATATATATTTATAGAATACATGTGTTTTTATAAATGAATGTTTTTTTTTTCTTATAGTGTTTGATTTAGCCTTGTGAAGTAGCATTAAGTTAAAAAAAAACTGCAGTATTGCACATAAATCTGAATGTGTTTAAAAAGCCACAGCCGGTGGCATGCCATGCGGTCTTGGTAGTTTTTTTCTTTTTTTTTATCCATAAAGGACAATCATTAGAAGGTGTTCCTGGATAAAGATGTATTATTTGCCAAGCTAAAGCCATGCATTTATTGTTGCTTTTTTGGTTTTTAAGAACATCAGCTAAAGCATGTACTTCTTTTATAGCAAATCCTGTCGCTATGGATAATCTGAACGAGTTGCAGACAAGGGCCTGTAATTCTAATCTTTGGCATACTGACAGCTTTGAAATGTCCATCGTCACAAATCCAGGGCAAAAGAACTTCCCCAAACAATGAATGCACTTCTGTTCCTAGCTGCTTAAGCACAGTTCTTATAAATACTTTGTTTCTTTTCAAAGCTACAAAACTGTGTATCCTTTATTTATTGAGAGATAATGTTGCAAGTAACAATTTAGAAATTGTTCAATTATGACATTTCTTAACCCTAATAAACTTTTGAATGGCCAATTCTTTCCTTTTAGTCTGATTCTTTTCCTGTTCATTTACAGCACCTTGATGTAAACCTTCCTACATGTACATGCATGACAACTACTAACCTCGAGGTGTTTTATAAGGACTGTATCAGATCAACAGTCGAAGTAGAAGGAAACAATAAATGGTTCCTAAATGAAAATCATCTGAGAAGTGTAGCTTGCAGGTTAGGGATACAATTGAGGAGCTTAATAGAAGAGGGAGAGGAGGAAAACTATATGAGATTAATATATGCCAGAAGCCATTTAGGCCCAGAAAACACTGCAAAAAAGATATTCTGGTTAGAATCATCTAAACATGATGGTGATGTGTGGCTATGAAGCAGTTTTAGATTTTGAGGTTAATTAAATACAAAAGTAGTCTGGCCTAAAAAAATGACTGAGCTTAAGCTGTTTTTGTAAGCAAAAATAAATATATAAATATGCAAAACTAATGGAGATGTATTCCAAAACTCCCAGAACTGCATTGAACAAAGTAATTAAAATTTTATTATCAGTGAAATTTATAAACTTTCATTTTCTCTCCTCTTGAAATGCATCACCAAAATCCTGATTAATTGCAGCCAGCTGGTCACAGGTTTGAACCCCAGCTCCATCCATCTCTGAAGTGGTGTTCACCACTTTGTGGCACAATAGTTGAAAAAAAACATACCGGTATGCTAAAGTGCCCACCTCTGGAGCCAAAATGTGTGCTAAAGTGTCCTCTTGGGAGCCAAAATATTTGCTAAAGTGCCCACCTCGTGAGCCAAAATGTGTGCTAAAGTGTTCTCATGGGAGCCAAAATGTGTGCAAAAGTGTTCTCTTGGGAGCCAAAACATGTGCTAAAGTGCCCACCTCGGGAGCCAAAAGATGCTTAAGTGTTCTCTCTGGAGCCAACATGTGTGCTACAGTGTCCTCTTGGGAGCCAAAATGTGTGCTAACGTGTTCTCTCTGGAGCCAAAATGTGTGCTAAAGTGTTCTCTTGGGAGCCAAAACATGTGCTAAAGTGTCCTCTTGAGGGCCAAAATGTGTGCTAAAGTGTTCTCTCTGGAGCCAACATGTGTGCTAAAGTGTCCTCTTGGGAGCCAAAATGTGTGCTAAAGCGTTCTGTTGGGAGCCAAAACATGTGCTAAAGTGTCCTCTTGAGGGCCAAAATGTGTGCTAAAGTGTCCTCTTGGGAGCCAAAATATTTGCTAAAGTGCCCATCTTTTGAGCCAAAATGGGTGCTAAAGTGCCCTCTTGGGACCCAAAACATGTGCTAAAGTGTCCTCTCTGGAGCCAAAATGTGTGCAAAAGTGTTCTCTTGGGAGCCAAAACATGTGCTAAAGTATCCTCTTGAGGGCCAAAATGTGTGCTAAAGTGCCCATCTCTGGAGCCAAAACATTTGCTAAAGTGTCCTCTTGGGAGTCAAAATGTATGCTAAAGTGTTTTCTTGGGAACCAAAATATTTGCTAAAGTGCCCATCTCCCGAGCCAAAATGGGTGCTAAAGTGCTCTCTTGGGACCCAAAAAATGTGCTAAAGTGTCCTCTGCAGAGATTAAGACATGTTATATGTGTCCTTTTTTTCTTCTTCCGCCTCTGCCACGGGCTTCAGTCAGTGTGCCCCAGGGCAGTTGTGGCTACAATGCAGGGGCGCAGATAGGTTTTTGAAACTGTGGGGGACAGTTACTATAGGGTTTGGTCATCGTGACGTAAGCACTTCGCGTCGCCGCCATGTTGAATGCGTCTTTTACCGCAGCTCAGACTACTGCCTATGACTACCGCGTACTGTACTCCCTCTCAGCCGTGTTTTAATTTTATTAATTTCACCTTAACTTGATTTCAACCATGGTAAACCGTTGCTGTATTGTGGGCTGTAACAGCTCAACACATGATCGCCATGGAAACATAGAAAATGGGTTAACTTTCCACCGCTTTCCTGACTGGAGGCGTAACCATGGAGACCAAGCGTCAGAGATAAAGAGTCGTCGGCTAGCTTGGATCGCGGCTGTAAGACGAGCGAACATAACTTTCCACAGTATTCCAATGTCATTGAGAGTGTGTTCCCTGCATTTTCATTCTGGTAAGTTAAAGATGCACAGTTTTATTTTATAGCCTACATTGTTTCTTTCCTTCAAAGTTGGGATCTTTTACGGGAAAATAATAAAAACGGCAGCGGTAAAAATGCTCAAATATGCGAGAAACCCGGAGGGTTGGCAGTTAACGTTACTAACTACACCTTTGAAACACATAGCAGCTAGTTAAAAGTACATTACATGCGTGAGTGGTTGTTAGCATTAGCGGTTAGCAGTTGCTAAACTAGCAGGTTCCAGAGCCCCTCTGATCACAGCTTACCTTCGTACGGATTACTGTGTTCCCACTGTTTGCTGGCTTTATGATCTGCAGCTCCTGAACCCATCCATTCATGAACTGCACATGAGACTCCAGGGACTTGTAGCTTGGGAACTGTTTTGAAGTATAGGCGCTCACTCATTGGTGCTCCACTCATTGTTTGGAACTTTATATGGATCCAAATGATTAACAATGCTGATTTTGTCACCATACCGGTCCCTGGCTTCTCTATTTAATGTGTCCCGGTAAATTCCAGATCCTTTTAGGGATTTTAACATATTTTTTCTCTCTACTTCTGTCTCTTCTTTCAACAACAACGTTGTGTCAGAGCTATGCTTACGTTTGCGTAGCAGTCAGTATGGCTGAGACGTCCCACAATGCAACGTGGATCCCGAGCCCTATTACTGGCTATTACTCAGCTATGACAACCCATCAATCTTAATTGCCCATCATTGCAAGAAAATAACATGTATTGGTACCAAGTACTCACCAAACATGCCACATGACGTGTGAAAAAAAAAATGTTTTATTTAAACATGGACTGACTTTAAGTGCAGGCTGTAAACACACAGAAACACGAACAGCAAAGCCTACATATATACAAAAACAAATTTGTAAATAAGTACTTTACATGGCTTTTCAATAAATGGCCTCAAATGAAGAAAGTTGTGTGTCTACTTTGTCAAGGACTCTGTAGAACTCCACTTTGTGGTACTCCACAGCAGATTCTGGCCTGTGTGCAGGTGCTGGCCCAGAATATCTCTTTGGGGGCCTATGTGTTAGAGACAGCTTCTAGGCCATATCCACTGCTTCCTTAAAGACTGCCTCAAAGTGGGCTGGCTTTCTTTTGTCCCGTAATCTCTCTTGGACAACTGAAACTGCAGAGACCATGCCCTCCAATGTCTGGGTGCTTTTTTGGAGCGATGTATTCAGCACTTCCAGTTCGCTCATTACATCTAAGGCCAGTGAGCCCCAGTAGCCCCAATTTCAGTAAAATCTCAGGCTTTTAAATGTTGTAAAATCACCCATAAGTTTTAGGTGTTTTAGTCCTTTATAATTAAATTTATACATTCAAAAAACATAAGGAAGTTATTATCAACGTCTCACTCTACTTTACAGCTTTGTATTAACATTGCTTTAATGTGTGTTATTGTGTACAGCTGGGGATGTTAAGGGCCATGTTAATTATAGATTAAATAATTTACTGTTCTGCAGTTTAAGCAATTGTCATATTTGTAACATCACTAGTCTTTCCTGTGACATGCACCTTTTATTTATTTATATATACACACACACACATTATATATATATATATATATATATATATATATATATATATATATATATATATATATATATATATATATATATATATATATATATATATATATATATATATATATATATATATATATATGAGAGAGAGATTCTTTCCTCCGAGTTACAGTGACATAGACAAACTTGAAGATACATGACATCCTCAAATTTCTATTCTATTAAAATTTCTGTATCTGTATAATGGGTCTGTTCTATATGTTGTCTTCTCAATTCAGAAGGCCCCATGCCTGTCTTTGCCTAGGGCCCCAAATTTCCTAAATCCGCCAATGTGTAGTGGAATTTGTCTAGCTTTGAAGTTAGTTTTTCTCATGATTCAACCTGTAACAACCTAAACCATTTGGCTTGGCATAAATACGGATTCAAGTAGCCTACTGTAGCCTACACATTTCTGAAAGACCCCCAACAACTCCAGAAAAAGTCGGAACAGTCGATTTAATTATAAATAAATAAATGCCAATCGATTCCCCCTGCCTCCCGCCTTATGACATTGGCACCTCTCTTCACTCTATTCTCACTGACCGTCTCCACTCTTTTTTCCACGGCGACATCGAACAGACAACCAAAAAAATGCAAGGTGATATGATACCGCAATGAACAGTTTACTTACAGTTGGTGCTTTTCGAAAAAAGGATGCAATTGTTTTCTGTTTTTTCGGTTTGGCTGGCCTCATGTTGATGTCCGGACTCCGGAATTGGGAACTGTCCCGCCACTACTGTCTGTCTGAGTAACCATGGAAACCAGGCTCGAGACGTAAATGCCAGAGACAGGATAACTGTTAGATTAGAATCTCTACGACGCAGGCAGCCTGCAGTTAAACAAAACGATTGCCCGTCTATGATCTGACTGTTTTATGTTGTTGTTGCAAAGCAGTAAATTAGAAAAAGCTTTTTGATTTTCTGTGAGTTTCGCCATATGTTTTTTTTTTTTTTTTTTTTATAAAAGTGGGGGGGACGGATTGAGGGTCATTCGAATCTGTGTACGTCAGAACACCCCTGACGTACACGCTATCTGCGCCCTTGCTACAATGTAGCTGCCACCATCATTGGGTGAATGACTGAATGTAGTGTAAAGCCTTCTGGATATATAAATATATATATATATATATATATATATATATATATATTTTTTTTTAACAAAAGTACTATAATGTCATGCAGCGTTGAGTTTCATGTAGAAATTTTGAATTCAAAGTGCTGATGAAGGTTCTCAGTCATCCTTTGAATTCAAAGGTTTTTAGGATGAACTTAGGAAACTCATTGCGGTAAAAAGTGACCTTCAACAAAATATAAAACTAAATGTTAGAATCTTTGATGTGTCCCATGCCACCTG